AGGGATTTTGATGTTTAACGGCGATCAACAAGCGGGGTAGGAGAAGAGTTGGCTGAATGAAGATCAGGAGGCCTGCAAACGGCATCTGGAGCCGGTGATGAAGATTATTACGCTTAATTAAACCAACTTGTTCGAACAGAAAATTGGTCAGGGTGATTGCCTTCACATGCCACCTTATAGGTTGTAACTGTGTGTTAACGACGGCACCTCTCATTGACGATGACGGTGAAACGTTTGGAAATGTACTGAGTCAATGGTTTTATGCTGGAAATCACGAATACTATGACAGAGGATACAGGACTAGGTACATTCTACAAGGTCATCTTGACTCTCCGACCAAGTTGCGAAAACGAGGTCGAATTAACACTAAAGCTTTTAGTGTTGGGTTGTCGTAGCTATTTAGCTGACAGGAACATCTTGTAAACTTTGCAGGCAAATTTGCGGAAACGAGGTCAACTAAAGATACAGCTAAAGTACTGTGACCAAACCTAATGCTATACCCTAGTATTCATATCCTTGGTGTAAAATGTTTTGTCTCAAATTCTATATATATATATATATATATATATGATTTCAGCTTTGCCCAAATAAGTGCTTTTCTCCTTTTTCCCCTAGCCTCATCCGATTGCTTCATCTCAAATTCCCTTCGTTCTAATCAACTAGATCATGTAAGTGTTATTCTTCATTATTTTTATCTCTTTTACATTCGAGGTGTTGTTTTTTTGATAAGTATTCCTCCTTCCCTTCGATAAACTTTGTACTATAAAACATGGAAATCTTTAAATTATCCAAGCATTTTTAAGGCCTTTAGTTTAGTTTATTACAACTATTCTATTTGCTGTACTTTTCACGATTCTAAACGGAATCATTAGCAAATTATTTAATAGCCTATATAACGGAATAAGGAAATATAAATCTCAGTCACATTTAATCACCTTTATCTTATTTTATCACTCTCTCAGTTCATGTCTCATAATCATAGGGAAAAATTCAAGGAAGGAAATCTTTTGAAATTATAGCACAGACATGCTGTGTCAAGTTTATGATAATCATCTTTGTGTGTATTCACCCTATTTCGTTTGAGGTGATAATGGCACTAGTAGTTTAGTTTTTCCCACAATGCTATGAGTAGACCTTATATTTCCATTGCATTCCACATAGCCTTACTTTCCCAAAAGTTATTCTCATTCAGGGTGGACTGCAGTTTCGACCTCATCTAGGTTTTATCTACACCCCTAGCGGGAATCGAACCATGACAGTGCAGCTTGTAATCTCGACACGTTAACCACTACGCCACATTGACACGAATGCCCTTGGGTCACAGGGCAAATGTGAATTTTAAGGAAGGCCAGCTATTTTCCCATATCACATTCTGGGGGGGGTATTATCGATGAATCAAAGTTGTATTTGCTATAGCAATCGACTATGTTACTTATATTTCGTTTATAAGTAGATTTTTTCGTGACTTTACTATACAATCAGTTTGGCTACATTCACGGCCATCTCTCGACCCATGCAACACCAAACGGAGCATGACTCATCGGCACTTTGTCCCACGGGGACTGGGCGAATCTAGTCATCACTTTGAGCCAATCATTATGTGGCTCTCAAAGTACATACGACTATTTTAATTCGGAAGCTAGCTCGATTGAAAACTGCGCCCCCCACGGCCCTGCCTTGCGCCGTCATCATTCTTTGTGACCGAACGCTGTCCTCTCGCGGCAACACCACACTCCAAATCGTCTGAGTCTTTTTCCTACATTGAGATCCTCGCATGTAACTTTCCTTCTTATGTAGAAAACACTGTGACTCGTTTTCTTGTTCCTCTATTCAACACCGTGGAAGTCTATTCGGTAGCGCGAAGACGAGCACATATCTTTAGTGAATGTTGTTCTGATTCACTACACACTACGCAGTCACGGTTCGAGCTCCACCGAGTGTGTTGATAAAACCTAGGCAGGTCGAAACGTCAGTCCACCCTGGGTGAGATACCTTTTGAAAAGCAAGGCTTTGTGAAAGTAAGTGGAAATATAGGGTTTACTCATATCACTGTGGGAAAAATTCAACTATCAGTCCTCTTATCGCATTAAACGAAATAAGTGGTATACATTTTTTATATTAATTCCCTCCCCCCCCCCGAATAAAAAACTCTACTTATAAACGAAACATAATGGGCATTGTTTTCCAGGAATATACATTTGCTTATTTGGCTTCTGTGTATATTCGTCCTAGCTATCCATCCCTCTTTATACCTGTTTATCATTATGTTTTTATACTCCTAACTGGCTCCTTTGATCGGCTCCTTCATTTCCTATGAAAAGTTGTTGAGTTTTTGTCTCTTGTTTGACATCAGAGTAGGAAGCCATCTTTTGACAACATTAAGGAACTCATCGATGTTGCAAATAGGTGTACCAAATGCTTTTAAATTCAAATAAACACTAATAACTGTAGTATAATGCTCGATCTCTATTGCGACAGAAAACTCGAGGCACTCGAGTTCCGTTTTATATATGAATCGTAAGGTTTAATGCAATTGTTGTTTCTATTCTCGAATCTCTAGTACATTACACTTTGACTTGCAATTCTTTCTTGCAGACGATTTTGGCCTCGAATCTTCTTCTACATCACCATCAATCGAATTTCGATCGACTAAGTCCCTCTTCCTCTTTCTGTCTAACCGGCCAGATGGACGACACCGTCTCTACTACCATGCCTGACTGTTCTCGCAAGACTGAGTCGAACGCCTGCACTCGTGGCCTCGACAATTGCTTTTCTCTCGCCGCCGATGGCTCCACTGACGTTATGCTTGCTAGTGCAACGCAGCCGGGATCATTCTCAGCACCGACCCAATGTAGTGGAAGCACTGGACGAGATACAATCGCCGGTGGGGGAAATGGAGGGAGTGGTCCTGATGACTTCTTCCTGTCCCTGTTAGCTAAGTCACAGTCCCGCCGAATGGATGAACAGCGCTGCTCGCTTGATCTGGTTCAGGCACGACTGACCTCTACAGTCTCATCCAACGCTAGCTCCTCTTCAGTTCGACCGCATGATCATTCCTTCGGCTCTACCTCGGTACCATCACCACCTACGACGGCTACATCTTTGGCGTCACCGCCCGAACAATCGGCACAACTGCCACGATCGGCCGTTGATGAGCCAAATGCGCTTTCTGCGACATCTTCTTTGTTAGTTGGTGCTCAACAATCGGCTTGGCTCCGTACTGGCTTGCGGAATTCGGAGCGGCGTGAAGGCGCCTGCGCTTCAGCAAGTCAGCTAGTGCTGCAGCAAGACCCACTTCAGCAACGACGGCAACAAGAACAGGAGATGCTTGAATCAAGAGAGGCGGCCCAAGATGAATTATTCGACTTGATTGCCGGAGCTCAGGTAGGCCACACATTTATGGACTATTGCGTTACATATTTTTGGTCATTAGGTCCTCATCATAAGTAGCTTCTAAACGAAAACAATAACAAGATATTTAATAGCCCACAGAATGGAATAAGGAAATAGAAGTCTGAGTCGCATTTTATTACATTCATCTTTTTTTTATCACTTTCAATTCATCTCTTATCATCAGGGAAAAATTAAGAAAATAACAACCATGTCGGTACAATGTACAGCGTCGTTAAACAGCTTACTAAAACGAATCGATATTTGTTGTAGAAAATTTGATGTGTTTTAAAACCGGCCTTAGTTTATTATTTTTAGTTTTAGTATTTTGTTGTTAATAAGGACACAAGAGTAAGTAATGCTTGGACAATTTAGAAATCACGTGGATGTAGATAATTGTTTGAAGAATGAGTTTAATACGATTCCTTTGCGAACTTTATTTCTAGAGCATCATTTTTAGTTAGAAAGCAAGCTCAATCCTAAGCACTTTTCTTACATGTTCCCTTCCTTATAATTTTTAATGCAAAGTCACGAAAAAACCTACGAGCGATTGCTAAGAATCATCGACTTCACCTAAGGCTTTGATACCACACGAATGGATCTTAGAGTTAATAATGTATAAGTCTGCTGTCTGAGTTCTTTTACTTCTCTGCAGATAGATCACATTTAATGCTACAAATTTCTACGGATATTGAAGACTGGATTATGCATGATTAAATAGTATGCCCTAATTCATTTCTTAATATATTTTCCCAGAATATAGTGCCAAAAATTGAGCCACACAGAAAATATTAAGCTATGCTTTGAATAGGGTGGAAAGGGGGTGATTGATGTAAAATGGTTTTGTTAAGCATAATCTTAGCATCTATTCATCCCGATAAAGATTAGATGATTGGATCAAAAGGTCTCGCAGGGACTCACTATACTTCGGCTAGAATAGATATCGTTTTTCTTCCAGATTAGGCCATATTTCATGCTACAATCAAGAGCAAATTGATACTAAGGAAGTTAGATTTTAGAATCTTCACTTAACCCCCTTATCTCTTAGATACTCCACCTTATAGTTACCATCTGCTTCGATATTCTCAATAATTTATCTTTAGCAAATATAATAATGATGAGAAATCTTTCACTAATAATAATTATTTTTGTTAAAACTATTTTTATAGGGGTGTTATTTCCAAATTGGATCAAATTCAGCTGTTTTTTATGGGCTGAAGTTGCAAAATGAAAATCCGTTCTCATTCTTAGTATAAAAATTTCTACCAATTTTTTCAATCAATCTTATGACCATGTTTCTTTGTATGAGAAATTTGCACCCTGAGCTTAATTATCCATGGACCTCAGATTGTCTATAATAAAGATATATTTAATCGAAGTTTTCACGTCAATTTGTATCAATGATTCTTTTCACGTCTATAAAGATATACGCAATTCACTCCACAGTTTATATATTTCAAGACGATTCGACTCAATTGAATTGTTTGAATTTGGCAGCTTGTTGGAAAATTGGGTAATGCATGAGACTTTTCATACGGAAATGGGACCCTGGGAAAGTTTGGGGTTCTTCACTGTTGCAATAAAGCACCTAAGGAATTTTTAGCATACTCGGAATTCATCAATACATATAATGGTATATAATGAAAGTGAAATATAATCAATAATGACAAACCCTAATCCGAGTCATATGATAGTCTAAGACTTCCATGGTATTGTAGTCATATTGTAACAAAACTATATTTTTTCTCGATAGCATAGAGCTGACATATAACATTCATCAAATCCCTTATTTCTCAGTCCTTTGTAAATTAATTGCTCCTGCAAGACATAATACGGACATCGCGTCTTATCTTCCTTATCTCTTGGGCCTCATTTAGATCAAGAGAATCATTGCATTACCAATTAAAAGAATATACAGGCTTCAGGCCATCGCTTAATCATTCCAGATTTTAATCAGTTGACGATGCAAAGTAACTAAGCTCTTTTGTATAATGGGGAAACGTCTTTCTCTCATAATACATTTTATCGTACGGTATTACTCAACTGAGACAATTCCTTGTGATATGAGATGTATTCATCTATTTTCGTTTAAGGTGATGAAGGACTGTTAGTATAATTTTCCCACAATGATATGAGTCGAGCTGACGTTTCCATTGAATTTCACAAAGCCTTGCTCTTCCAAAAGTTTTTCTTATAACGTAGTCGATTGTTATAGCAATTATACGTTTGCTTAATCGATAATCCCACAAAAGAATATGATATGGCAAAAGGCCTGGCCTTCCTTGAAATGCACATTTGCCCTGTGACCCAAGGGCATTCGTGGCAATGTGGCCAAGTGTTTAACGTGTCAAGCTCCCATTCTGCACTGTCACGGTTTGACTCCCGCTGAGGGTGCTGATAAGACCGATGCGAGGTCGAAACTGCAGTCCACTCTAGTCGGGATGAGAACAACTTTTGGGAATGGAATTATATTTAGTCCAAGTTTAGACCTTATTTTGCGAATTAATCTTCGAGTAGGGCTTATATGGTGGCATGAATCAGAGTAAGCTAAGACATATTTTTATGTTCAACGAAGAACAGTTGATAAAGGTTGTATGATGTGTATGACCAAGTGTAACTACCATCGTGGACCAGAAAGCCCTGCAGATGGGACAGTAAACCGATGGTAAAGGTGATTAATATTCATTAGACCCACTTGAAGTGGAACAGACAAAGATAAAGTGATGTGTATATGGCTAAATTGGTCATATGAAAAGGAATTGTGTGATGATGAGATAGCACGAGGAGGTCTGAAAGCAAAGGGCCGGGAGATATTACATTATTTGAATAGGAAATTTGTCTTTGTTTCTTTGATGAGG